TTTTTAAGAATTTTACATGTAAAAAGTAGCTATAAATATATAATATTATAAGTGCAAAAAGCTTCACAGCTGTCCACAGTTGTCCCACCTGCTCATCTCAATATTATTATCTTTGATTCATATTCAACTTTGATTCATATTCAACTAACAGCCAATATGCCCTTTGTGAGTTAGAGCAATAGTCAGATGCGTTTGCATATAAATATTGCTGTGCTCATCCAAAGAAATGCCAACCCTTAGCTTAGTTGAGTGCTTGGCGCCTTTTGGCTTTGGCTTTGCATTCTCTATTATGCATGCGAACGCAGCAAGAACGACAGCCACACAGCGCACACTGAGTGCTGCTAACAAACACATACAAAAACACACACACATACTCTCGCACACCTGTACATACAACCTACATATACATTGAGAAACTGTGGCAGCTGCTGCTTCTGCTACTGCGTTGCATTTCAATTTCAATTGTTGCAGTTGCAACCTTCGCTTTAAGTTGCTTTTGTTATAGTTTGTTTGACCCTTGCCCAAGCTAATTTAGCAGCGAGCATATTTTCATGGCTAAGTTAAGTTTTGCTTGCGTGAAAATATTCAACTGCATATTTTTATCTGAGCAAAACTGATGCATTTATAATATTATTTTAGGAAAATTTCTAACATAGCTCAGTCAAGTTTTTGCATAAATTTTCGCCACATTTATATACATATATATTAGCTAAACATATGTATGTGCTATGCATCTCTATTATATTCGGAAAATTTCATATGCATAAATGCAGCAACATATATTTTTTTTTTTTTTGCTATTTATATGTGTATGAGGGGCGTGTCTATTTTGCATACGCATTCATTGTTCGACGCTATTTACAAAATTTGTTATTTAAATAGAATAGAAATAGCAAATAAACAACAAAAAATTAACGACAGTTGCATATAAATCACATGCATGAGCAAAGTTCGAATGAGGGACATGTTTTTTCTTCTTTGACGTATACGTAATATTTTTGAAACCAACATTTATTTAGCAAATATATACAATAATATTTGTTCGTTATTTTTCGAAAAAGAAAATG